ACTGATGTGAGGTCATGTCCTGTCATCAATGATAAGTTGATTTTGAGTTATTTCAGCATTTAGTCTTACTAAACACCACCATTGTGGTTTATGGGACCACAAACAAGACACATCTCTAATAGCATTTCTTTTGTTGTTGTTGTTGTTGGTAGTGGGGCTTGAAATCTGGGCCTGGGCACAGTGACACTTCAGGCTTTCTGAGTGGTTTATTAGAAATAATAGTCTCAGGGACTTTCCTGCCTGGGTTAACTTCTAACTGTGATCCTCAGATCTCACCCTCCTTAGTAGCTAGGATTACAGGCATGAGCCACCAGCACCCGCTGTAATAGTATTTCTTCATAGAGGTCATTCACAGTATCTGTTGATGACAAATTCTTTTCCCACTTCTAGCTAAAGGTTGTTGTATTAAATAAAATATTGATCATCAAAGTGCTTGGAGAAGAGCATTGAGAAATCCTGCGCAAGCATAGGGAATTAAAATCAATCAGATTCCTTCAGCCTCAAATGCTTATTCAAATGAATGGGTGATAGCATCTAGTAAACCACACAGTACATATTAGGAAATACAGTACTAGTCTTGAAAAGGTTACAAGTTGATTGTGGTCACACAGCCAGTGAGTGGTGCCATAAAGACCAGTTTTTAACCACAGATACTGTTATTTAAACTGAAAGTAACAAGGAAATTCCTTTACCCACTTTTTTTTTAAGGGCAAGTAGGTTTGTTTTGTGAAACAGGGTGTGACAATGTGGTTCTAGCTGTCCTCAAACTTCATCCCTCTGCCTGTCTCTTCAGTATTGGAATTATATGTGGTTTTTTTGTTTTGTTTTGTTTTTGCCAGTCCTGGGCTTGAAGTGTCCCTGTGCTTCTTTTGCTCAAGGCTAGCACTCTACCACTTGAGCCACAGCACTACTTCTGACTTTTTCTGTGTATGTGGTACTGAGGAATCAAACCCAGGGTTTCACGCATGGGAGGCAAGCACTCTACCACTGAGCCACATTCCCAGCCCTGCAATTATGGTTGGACCACCATGCTAGAGCAGTCCTTTCACTTTTCCAGTGGTTGTTAAAAAGAAAACCAGCTAAACACCGGTAGCTCATGCCTGTAATCTCAGCTGAGGGTGGAAAAGTTGGTGAGA